CATTATATAAGACCTCTCTGCTATATGAAAAGTCTAAGGGCTCTAACTCTCTGGCAGACTTTGAGGAAAGAAACAAGGGGCATAGATGGAGCCTCTTGAGAGATACGGACGAGAAGATTACCAATTTCGGTAGCAACTTCAAGAGGGTTCGCTATAGTGACACCGGCAACTCGAAGATTGGGAGTCAGGTCTGGAAAGTATTTGCCACTCAGTTTCCATACTTTTTTTCAGACTGCACTCATAGAGGAAGCCGAAGTGATGGTAGAAACAGTCCCACCAACAAGTGCATTTAGCTTCACAAACAACACGGAGGGCAACCGCTCTCGCCTGCTGAAAATCAAGTTGTTCTGTGGTCCTATTGTAACTATATCTGCCCCATACAGCACGTTTCGAACATACTGCGTGAGCACAAGCAAGAGATCAGCGAAGCACGCATTTCTGAGAATGCTTACCTGAGGTTTGGGGTATAGTGTGTGAAGCTGTGATTAAAACAGGTCGAGAATAGGTGTAACAGCTCATCAATAGAGGATGAAGAAAAGTCCTCACTAAAAGTAGTTTGACGGGAGTACAAGTCCCAATTTGTTCAGTCAAATTGCCAATGTGGGATACAAGGAGGTGGAGAATATGAATGAGAAGCAAGGAGGATTAGACAATTGGTCGCTGTCATGAGAGTCCAGGAGTACAGACCAGTTCAATTGATGAAGAGCAAACTGAGAGATCAATGCAAGAGAGCGACTGAGTACGAGGATCAAAATGGGTGGGAGTACCTTTATTTAAAACAATGAAGGGAAGAGACGTGAAAAGAGCCTCTAACTAAATGCTGCGAGTCACAGTGAGACCCCCAGAGGAACTGGTGAGCACTGAAATCGCCTTAGAATTGGTAATGGTAATGAAGAAACCAGAAATGCAAAATCTGGGACAGAAAATGCCCGAGAAGGAGAGAGATACAAAGAACAGACCATATACCACTTACTCAAGTAGATGTGTGCTGCAATGTAATGCAACAGAGTATGAACAAAGATCTGATGGTACGGTATGCTGGTGCGTTCAAGAAGTGCACTTTCATTAAAGGTTCCATCTGGAAAAGAATCCGATGAATGGAATAAAATAGCCCGAGACGGGATGGATAACAGCGGAACATTATTTGGGTTCTTGTAAACAAACACAAATGGGTAAACTAGGAGAGCAATGCCTGAGGCCTCAGATATTCCACTGTAAATAAGCCATGATTTAAGAGAAGCATACAGGTAATATAAAGCAATAGCTATCTACAGACTTCAAAGGTTGGTGAAGTCCGTATGTGGAGGCAGCAGAAAATAAGCAAGCATGAAGGATTGGAACGCTGTGAAGAACAGAGTTGTGCAGGTGAAGAAGAGTAAAAAGTAGTGACAGGAGATGGTTTAGTGTCCATCAATGGTTTAGCCTTCTCAGTATATTCAGAGATAGCTTCAAGCATTTTGGAGGACAAGTACGTTGTATGTGGGACGTTCAGCGCTCCCCTTGATTATAATAATAATAATAATGTATGTGGGACGACATTGGAGATAGAAGGGGGAGTGTGAGTGAAGATTGGGGGTGACAATAGAAGTTACCAAAGTAGGGGGGAAGAAAGGCAAGAGTTAACTTGGGACGAAGCCTGGGAGGGGACAGGAGATGAAGGAACTGTATGAGGGGAAGGATGAACTTCCACACTCATAACAGAGCTAGTAAGAGGAAAAAAAACCTGCTACAGAGACTGGAAAAGAAAAATGTCCGGGTAGGATAAGTGAAGGAGAGGTTAAAGGAGATTTACACTTTGTGGATTGTTTGAACTTTGGAGAAGTAGAGGGGTGAAGGAGAGGGTGTTGTGCAAGATCTTGTAGACAAACTTGTGAGCAAGAAGATGAAGATTTGAGAATAGTAGGTGGTGCCGAGGTAGGGGCCTCGGAGTCTAGGACTGCAAAAGAGTTAGATACAGAGGTAACTGGAAGGTGTAACCACAGGGGAGACTGCAGGAATTGGGACCCCAGAGGTTGGGGGCTGCTTAGTAACTCAAGAATAAGAAATGAGGGGAAGTCTCCCCTGGAGGCGTAGATGAGAGACTGACATGGCGTAAGTAAAGCCTTCTGTACCTTTGATATAACATTTCTTGTTCATCGAAGTAAACTTGGCAATGACGAAAATAAGATGGGTGAGCTTTATTACAATTAAGGCAAGAAGGAGGTAGACTACAAGGCCTACTGCTATGGTCATCGGCACCAAAGACTGGACATTACGCCATGGACCTGCAATATTTCGCTGGGTGGCCAAAATGCCAGCAATTTCTACACTGTTGTGGTGTAGGGATCAACTTTCTGACTTGTAGACGGTGTCCTGCGATGTAAACCGAAGATGGAAGCTCCGGCAATCAAAAGTTAAGCGAGCTACATTGCAGAGGTAGGGTCTCCGTCTGTGGGCAGGTAGTACATGTGTCTGCTTTGAGAATTGGAGGGTCTTGGAGCTCAAGCTGTTCCAGAATGTTGTTACCACATATCTGGAAATTATGCTGAACAATGGTATAAGGTAGAATAACAGTTGAAGATTGAGACACTTATGCAACATGTGGGTTATCTTTATTGAGGACCGAAACTGAGTATCTCCCATTCCCCATGTGCTGCATGACCCCACGTAAACTTAGCGCATCACCCTAATAATCCCATTTCCTAGCTGCTATACGACCCCCACGGGTTTAGAGTTCCCCTTGTTGCTGGTGAAGGGCTCTTGATGCAAGGAATTGAATCTGTTCTCTTGCATTGAATCCGACTGCCTGGTTCCCCAAGCACTGTATGACCCCTACAGGTTTAACACATCTAAATAATGTTAGTAGAGGGGCAAGGATGGGTAGAAATATAACTGAAATGTTCAACAGAAAAAACATTCCGATGAATGACTCTTGGAATTATCATTAAAAATAACTGTTGGCGAGATGAAACATTTCAAGAAGACCTCCCTCCCCCCTCTACCTCCCTCCCCCCTCTCTAACCTACTCCCCCCTCTACCTCCCTCCCCCCTCTACCTCCCTCCCCCCTCTACCTCCCTCCCCCCTCTCAACTCCCCCCCCCTCTACCTCCCTCCCCCTCTCTACCTCCCCTCCCCTCCTACCTCCACCCCCCTCTACCATCCCTCCCCCTCTACCTCCCTCCCCCCTCTCTACCTCACTCCCCCCTCTACCTTCCCCCCCTCTACCTCCCTCCCCCCTCTACCTTCCCCCCTCTACCTCCCTCCCCCCTCTACCTCCCTCCCCCTCTACCTTCCCCCCCTTTACCTCCCTCCCCCCTCTACCTCTCCTCCCCCTCTACCTCCTCCCCCCTCTACCTCCCTCCCCCCTCTACCTCCCTCCCCCCTCTACCTTCCCTCCCCCTCTCTACCTCCCTCCCCCTCTACCTCCCTCTCCCCCCTCTACCTCCCTCCCCCCTCTACCTCCCTCCCCCTCTACCTCCCTCCCCCTCTACCTCCCTCCCCCCTCTACCTCCCTCCCCCCTCTACCTCCCTCCCCCATCTCTACCTCCCTCCCCATCTCTCCTCCCCTCCCTCCCCCCTCTACCTTCCCCCCCTCTACCTCCCTCCCCCATCTCTACCTCCCTCCCCCTCTCTACTTCCTTCCCCCTCTCTACCTCCCTCCCCCATCTCTACCTCCTCCCCCCTCTACCTCCCTCCCTCATCTCTACTCCCTCCCCCTCTCAACTCTCCTCCCCTCTCTACCTCCCTCCCCCATCTCTACCTTCCTCCCCCATCTCTACCTCCCTCCCCCCTCTACCTCCCTCCCCCATCTCTACCTCCCTCCCCCCTCTACCTCCCTCCCCATCTCTACCTCCCTCCCCCTCTCTACCTCCCTACCCCTCTCTACCTCCTTCCCCCTCTCTACCTCCCTTCCCCTCTCTACCTCCCTCCCCCTCTCTACATCCTCCTCCTCTCTACCTCCTTCCCCCCTCTCTACCTCCTTCCCCCTCTCTACTTCCTTCCCCCTCTCTACTTCCTTCCCCCTCTCTACCTCCCTCCCCCTCTCTACATCCTTCCCCCCTCTCTACCTCCTTCCTCCCTCTCCCCTCTACCTCCCTCCCCCTCTCTACATCCTCCTCCTCTCTACTTCCTTCCCCCTCTCTACCTCCTTCCCCCCTCTCTACCTCCTTCCCCCCTCTCTACCTCCCCCCCTCTCTACCTCCCTCCCCCTCTCTACCTTTTCCCCCTCTCTACCTCCTTCCCTCCTCTCTACCTCCCTCCCCATCTCTATCTCCCCCTTCTCTACTTCCCCTCCCCTTCTCCCACTCAAGTCCAACATAGCGTCCCATTTTTTTAACAGCTGAATTTACATACTAAGTGCTGATGCATAAGACGTGCAACAGTTCGACACCTCTATTGGCGAGACATTTCGCCTGCTCCACAGGCTTCTTCAGTTAAAATACAAGAGGCAACAGTAGTGGAGATATAGACAAGGTGATCAGTTCCTTCATCTATGGAGGTGAATAAACACCAAGATCGCATTCACTTTCAGGAACTGATCACCTCGTATCACTATTACTTTCGACCACAGAAACCTGCTGAGCGAAACGTCTCTTCAGTACAGATACCAGACTGTGGTTGGTATTATATACTATAATAACACTAGATAATAATATAAGGAAACGCGTTCTGCGTGTTACCTTATACCAGTGGTTCCCAAACTTTTTCAGCTTGTTACCCAATTTAACATGCCACATAAAGCATGTTACCCCTTTCACAAAATGTTGTTATTATTGATATATATGGCTAAACGTGAACGTATACAGCCTCGCATACTCTGCTAATCCTAGCAAAACCATTGAAAACGTAAGAACCACACATACATTATATATAAAATTAATAATAGCTACAAATTCACAGTAACAGTGGGTAAATACTAACTATATACTGCACAGGGCAGTACACATACATACCAGCTTATGTCTACCTCGGCTGATGCTCACAGATAAACTGACAGTGTGAAATAGAGGCAGCCTCAGGAAGTGAGTGACGCGTACTGGACAGGTCGATCTGGGCTACTGAGTGACTTTTGTCCTGAAGCATACTTGTCAAAATACTTTTGGGTTTCCACACACTTAGCTATATATTTCTTCTTTTCTAATACTGTATATTAGTTTTTGATGTTTATTGTTATTTGGTTTAACTTTATTACTTACTTATAATAGGTTTACTTTACAACTTTATATACTAAGACAAAGTTAACAATAATCCTCATACCGGGTACCGCATTGTTTTCTTGATTTTCAGAATTCATAACTTTTTTTCTGTCACCCCTCCATTACCCCCCAAAAATGGTTAAATTACCCCCAGGGGGTAATTTACCTCCAGTTTGGGAACCACTGCCTTATACCTACACAAATGGTCCGAATTGGGCTATTTAGTCACACTGTGACTGTGTAAATGGTCCAAGTCGGACCGAAACGTCGTCGTAAGCTCCTCTCTTTTATGTGCGGGTTATTTGTGTATCGTTCCAGTCACGGTACTGTGTTTTTTTTTATTTCCTTATACTTATTGCTCCTGTCTCCCTAGCAGCAAATAGGTATTTGTGTCAGCCTCCTGCTGTTCTGTGGTGGGTTATACATCACTGCAATTACCACCTTGGGACCTCCAGATTGAAGCGTTCTTATTATATAATATCTTGCTGTATGTAGCATCCTGCAGAGCTGGCATCATACCATTCGCTCATTTCAAAGCCCCCCTCAAGGAAGGTTCCTTGATGTTGGTGAGGGGCTCTTGATTTAGGGAATTGGATCTGTGCTCCAGTTCCCCGAATTAAGCCTGAATGCCTTCCACATCCCCCCCAGGCGCTGTATAATCCTCCGGGTTTAGCGCTTCCCCCTTGATTTTAATAATAAATAATCATTTCAAAGCCCAGTCCTCCTTAACGTAAAAGTTTGTAGTTAGTTTCATACATAAGTTCAATGTTTTCAATGGTCTTACTCAGTATATGTAGAAATTAAGCTAGGATAACCTAACATATTAAAACATTATGGCATCTTTCCAGATACCAGCCCTGCGGGACGCCACGTACAGCAGCCATAATAATGATAAATGTTTATTTCCTTGTAAAACTGTGTGGTTTATATATTTTAAAATATTGGTCACAGACCGGGCCGCGGGGGCGTTGACCCCCGAAACTCTCTCCAGGTAAACTCCAGGTAATGGTCTCTAGCATGCTTAGGCATTTCGGGCAGGCATAAATAGATAACACAGGTTAACAGATACCTACTTGCTGCTAGGGAGGCAGGAGCAACAGGTATAAGGAATGTATTAAGGTTGGTAGTATTGCTGACAATATGTTAGGACACAAGTGCAACTAATGTGACAGCTTGACAAAGCTCCTGGAGAGCGAAACGTTGCCACAATAAAATGTTACATTAGTTGCACATGTGTTCTTTTACCTAACAGGTATAAGGGGACACGCACAACGCGTCCACCCACCCCAGGATCTAGCCCGGGGTCTTTCGTTATTACCATTAATGCACATTTAACCTAGGATACCCCAAATAAGTCTACCCCGGCAATCGTACCCGGATCCCTTCGGCTGTAAGCCGAATGTTCTACCATGGAGCTACATTAATGTCCGTACAAACCCTGTCCATGTCCAACAAATCCGTAAATGGTTACTCCCACATCACTAGCTCCATATATACACTTGTTGCAGCTGAGCTAGCTACGCCGCAGAGCTCCTGGGGATAAGACAACTAGAATAAAAATAGAAACATTTAAATAAGCTGCAGTAAAGGCGCGCGAAGCTACAAGAGGGAAAATACTTCGGGTCTGGGAGATATGAAAGTTAAAAACCCAGGAATGAATAATTGGAGATAGCCAAGCGGGGAATAAAGGAAGAGGGGACCTGTGAAAGAAAACGAGGGTACATGAAAGAAAACGGAGATCAAGATAGACTTGTGTAAACCACGCGCAGAAAATGAACACAACAAATGCCGTATATTTTTTTCGGTCGCACTGTATAGAGGCGAGGCGAAGTTTACAGCCGTGACGGAGGGGATGGCAGCGGACTTTAACTTTCCCAGTTTCCGCAAGACCAGGCAACCAATACTGCGGTAACAAGCCTGAAAAATAAAAAGTACGAATCATGAAATTATAATTATAATCATAACCAAGTATTAAATCCGTAAGTGTCATACAGACTAATCATGAAATTAAATAGTATCACTCAAAATATTATGTAAATATTAAATTTATGCCAATATACACTTGATGTAATTTCACCCTGAACGGTTTTAGCTAAACTATATCCAGATATGTTAATACAAACCAGAGTAAAATTGCATTTAAGATTTTGTTCGGTTTTTAACCCCGGAGGGTTAGCCACCCAGGATAACCCAAGAAAGGAAGTGCGTCATCGAGGACTGTCTTATTTCCACTGGGGTCCTCAATATTGTCCCCTATGATGTGACCCACTCCAGGTACCTACTTGCTTGCTAGGTCTAGAACGGGACAACAGGTGTAAGGAAGCAATGCCGAATGTTTCCGCCCTTTCCGGGGATCGAACCACGTCCAGTCAGCGTGTGAAGCGAGAGCGTTTCTTACCAGGCCACGGGCCACCGTAGACAGGTACCTCGCTGCACAGTTAATACCTGCGTGTGAGAAAGACGGACAGAGTGGGTACTGACTTGCAGATTTAGTAATCTGGAGAGTTTGTGCTGAGAAAATAACTTAAGATATTAATATCTGTAAAGACTTATAAGAGACATCTAACTACGTTACGACGCATAATATATAATAACCTTTATTTCTACAAGTACATGATATAACTTATACAGACCATAGCTGACATCAATGACATACTACTATATAGAAAGCCCCTGGTTAGGCAGAGGATTTCAGGCAACCTAAATTAATTTTGACCCCAGGATGCGATCCACACCAGTCGACTAACACCTAGGTACCTACTTGCTGCTAGATGAACAGGGACAGCAGGTGTCTTTAGGAAACGCCCTAATGTTTCCACCCGTACTGGGGATCGAACAACGGACCTAAATGTGTCAAATGTCGATGCTCAGTAATTGCTATTCAGGTTGCTGTTGCTAACACTGGTATTAACAGTAAAACTTTCATTTCTACTGCTACTGCTGGTATTGGTAACACCGTTGGCTCACATCTGAGGATCCAGCTTCGATCCCAGCAAAAGTGAAAAAAAACGAGCATGTTTCCTTATATCTGTTGGCCCCTGTTCACCTAACAGTAAGTAGGTACCCGGGTGTCAGCTGGCTGTTGTGGGTTGCATCGTAGAGAAGACAATCAAGGGACCCCAACAGATATAAGGCAGACATGGTGGCTTCCTTTGATTATTCTACGTTACAAACTCTCCAGGTTAATAATCCGAAAAATCCACAGATCCAATTCCCTAGATCAAGAGCCCCTCACCAGCATCAAGGAACCTCCCTTGAGGGATCTAATGTATAGAATCTTAGCGAAGCGAATTTGTGAAGTATAAAAACAAATTATATTTCCTGAAGTAGTATACAAAATTCAGTTCATAATAAAATATTGTTCAGCATAATGAAACCCACTAGTACGCATATATAAAAAGTTCACTTAATATGGTTTAAAGAACGTTACGTACAGTAAAATTCAATATTTCTAAGTCCGTTAACGAGCCTTCTATAAGCGTAGTGTAAAATTCTAAATGAAATCTCAGAAAATTAAAGGCTGTGCACATTGAACATGTAAGGATTTTCAGCATGACATTTACATAATATAAAAAAAGGTACAAATGGAAGAAATTCAAAACCCATGAAATAAAATTTTATTCTCTTAAACATATGTGTGCGTATACCGAGTATTTTAAAAATAATAATAATAGTAATAATAATAATAATAATAATAATAATAATAATAATAATAATAATACTTTATTTCTACAAGTACATGTACAAGGTATACAGTCCTAGCTGACATCGACATACTACTATATAGAAAGCCCCTCGTTATTACCTGGAGTTTACCTGGAGAGAGTTCCGGGGGTCAACGCCCCCGCGGCCCGGTCTGTGACCAGAGCATTTCGGGCAAATTAGGTCAATTTTGTCCCAGGATGCGACCCACACCAGTCGACTAACACCCATGTACCCATTGTACTGCTAGGTGAACATGGACAGCAGGTGTCTTAAGGAAACACGTCCTAATGTTTCCACCCGTACCGGGATCAAACCCCGGACCTCACTGTGTGAGCTGAGTGCGCTACCAATCGAACTTAACGAGTGAATACATTCATGACTGATGGTGAACAGGTGGCATGAAGCCTTAATGACCCTCGTGTTTTAATCAGGACTGATAAAGCCACTAGCGGCGAAACTCCCCCCCCAATAAATGTGTTGATTGTGCATTTGTCTCTTATTCCCACACTCTGCTGGTATTCACATACTTGTACTTGTACAAGGTGAGTCGAGGAGCAACAAGAGGAAGTGGACATTTCCCCGCGGCTGGCTGACAACTGAAGGTGAGAGTGGTTAATGGGGTTTAAAGGCTATCGACTACACGAGGGTCATTAAGGTACTACAGAACCTGTTCACCACCAGTCAAGAATAATTTAATTCCTAAAATAGGGATCAAAGTAAGCCCACAACATCACGATAAATGAGACACATGTGTAAATGTTACACAAGTGTCTCATTTATCAACTTTTCGGTTTTCTAAACCACATATTCAAACTAGAAGAATCAAGCTGACAACAGAATTCTCATGCTGCACCACTACCTTAAACAGTGACTTAACAAGCAGTTTGCTAATTAAAACTACATCACATCCTACCAAAGTCCTCTATATAAATGAACGTACATCTGTACACAATAATAATAAGATACCCTTAATATAGAGTGGACTCACATTATCTACCTGGAGGGTATTCCGGGGGTCAACGCCCCCACGGCCCAGTCCTTGGCCAGGCCTCCCGGTGGACCAGGGACTGATTTTAAGTATCTGTCCAGCTTCCCATTGAAAGCAGCCAGGGGTCTATTGGTAATTTCCCTTTGCCGGGGGAGGGGAGGCTGTTGAACAGTCATGGGCCCCGGACACTTGCTGTTTTCTCTTAGTGTATCAATGGCGCCTCTACTTTTCATTGGGGGTATATTGCACCGGTTGCCCAGCCTTTTGCTTTCGTGGGGAGTGATTTCTGTGTGCTGATTTGGAGAAGTTAGTGTACAGCAGTATTTCAGTCTAAAGAGAACAAATGATTGAAAAAAGATCATTGGTTTGGCATCCCTTGTTTTGAAGGTTCTCATTATCCATCTTATCATTTTCCAAGCTGTTGTGATCCTTGAAGTTGAGATCCACTGACATTAACACTCCCAAGTCCTTCACACTACTTTTCCGCTCTATTGTGTGATTAGAGATTATAGTATAGTCAGCCTCTCACTAAATATTATTATTCTATTTTCGAATGATAATAGGAATGTCCATATATGTTTATTATAATATAAATGTTATATAAAGTACACAGTAAACATTGAGTTGAGGTGCTCCACTATGTTTCGGGAAAGTCTTGAATGGAAAATGTGTAATATTGATTGGTTTACGCGAGGGAGATAATTTTGTTTGTGCAAACTGGAAAAACAATTATTTTAGATATTTTTTGTCTTCTGGGTTATACTTGGAGAATATTAAAAAATAACTCTTGTTTAACCACTGTAACCAACTTAATATAAACTAGCTCACCGTATCCCTATCTAACGTAACGAATCCAACCTAACCAAACCCAGCAACCTACTTAACAATCACTGTAAGTACCGTAACATCAAATGTATGATAATTATACTTACGTGTACCTGTTCTTAAATAAACTTAATAACTACTGTAAACATCTTTATATAACTTCAACAGCATGTGATAAACATCTACACTGAACATCTAGCTCCTGCACTTAACATACAACTCTTATACTTAAAATACAGCACCTACTCTAAACCTACAACTTAACACAGAGGACCTACACTTAACATAGAGGACCTACATACACTTAACACAGATGACTTACACTTAACATAGAGGACCTACATACACTTAACACAGAGGACCTACACTTAACATAAAGGACCTACATACACTTAACACAAAGGACCTACACTTAACACAGAGGACCTACATACACTCAACACAGAGGACCTACACTTAACACAGAGAACCTACACTTAACAGAGGGCCTACACTTAACATAGAGGACCTACACTTAACATAGAGGACCTACACTTAACAGAGGACCTACACTTAACATAGAGGACATAAACTTAACACAGAGGACCTACACTTAACATAGAGGACCTACACTTAACATAGAGGACCTACACTTAATACACAGCTCTTACGCTGAATACCAAGCAACCACACTGAACATGCAGCGCCTACACTGAGCCTCCACCTCCCCCGGCTGCCAGCGTCACACTCACCTCGCTGGCCCAACACAAGCACAGTCAACATTCACAGTCATTAGAGCAGCTCAATGGTTCTGAAGAGACAAAGCGTTGCCGGTTCCTGGCCCAAACAAACACACAGTTTCCGCTAACATGCCTGGTTCCCCAGAGCACCTCGACCTTCCCCTCACATCCCCAGCTATCCACCCCCTCTATCTTCCATCCCCCGTATCCCTTACCGATTCCTCGGGATAATCATCTTTCCTCTTACATTATTGGCCCGATTCTTCCAGGATATTTATGAGCAATTTCCAACCCCCCGCTTGCAATTTATTTTTTCGCTTAATCTGCCGCATTTCCAAATACCAAGTGCGATTATTTGGAGACAATTTTACACAAGTTTTGGATCATTACATTTGTCTTACATAGTAACACTCACATGCACACACACATTAATATATATATATATAATATATATATATATATATATATATATATATATATATATATATATATATATATATATATATATGTCGTGCCGAATAGGCAGAACTTGCGATCTTGGCTTAAATAGCAACGTTCATCTTGCCATATAGGACAAGTGAAAATTTGTGTATGCAATAATTTCGCCAAAATCATTCTGAACCTAACGAAAAAAATATATTTCACTGTGTTTGTTTAGTATTAAATTACTGTAAACAAATCTAAAATATATTTAGTTGGGTTAGGCTAAAATAAATTGTTCTTTTTATAATAAGGTTAGGTAAGTTTTCTAAGATGCTTTTGGTGCAAAATTAAAATTTTTTACATTAACATTAATGAAAAAAATGTATCTTTAAACGTATAAGAGAAAATTTCAGAAAGGACCTAATTTTAAATGAGTTCTTGCTAATTGACCAGTTTTACATATTCGGCACGACATATATAATATATTATATATATATATATATATATATATATATATATATATATATATATATAATATATAATATATATGCAAGGAATTCGCGAGAGCATGCGAAATATACACAAACACTGATCTCTGGCTGAAGGAGACTCGAACCTACGAACCTTAGGACAAGGTACGCAGTGCTTTACCAATCTACCCACACTGGACAATACCTTGGCGTGTAGCATCCGCTACACGTTTGATCCAAGGCAGCCAGCTTTCAGGGAGAAGGCTTACAGCTTTTCATCTCATCCCCTGCATGCATCAGCCTTACTAGGTTCGAGTCTCCTTCAGCCAGAGATCAGTGTTTGTGTATATTTCGCATGCTCTCGCGAATTCCTTGCATTGTTCAAATCTCTAGTAAGGCTGATGCATGCAGGGGATGAGATGAAAAGCTGTACGCCTTCTCCCTGAAAGCTGGCTGCCTTGGATCAAACGTGTAGCGGATGCTACACGCCAAGGTATTGTCCAGTGTGGGTAGATTGGTAAAGCACTGCGTACCTTGTCCTAAGGTTCGTAGGTTCGAGTCTCCTTCAGCCAGAGATCAGTGTATATATATATATATATATAATATATATATATATATATATATATATATATATATATAATATTATAGTTTTTGAGTTAAAAATTTTTTTTTGAGAAAATGTCCCTTACAATATACATTTTTTTCAGATGCTGTGCCGTCAGGAGAGACTTTCAGCCTCCGTTCCCCTTTTCCCTCCCTCGAGTTTCTGGGAATAAAGAAGTGAAACCGTGTGACAACCGACGAAGATTAATGACAACCTATTCCGGCCAAGTGCCGGAAGTAGGAGTCAGCGCCACAGTGAACGAAAACAACGAGCGAAGAACAATGGGAGGGAGAGAACGAGCAAGTCAAGAACAATTAAGAGGGAGAGAGAGAGAAAGAGAGGGAAAGGGAGAGAGGCTGACCCGGGAGCACTTGGTTTTGTCCCGCCTTCTTAATTGGCCAGCGGCGTACTGCACTGCGTTATTGTTATTGTTCTTATCATTATTACATAAATAATTATATTATTATTAATTAAAAATAATTCTCAGGTTATTATAAATAGGTCCATTTCAAATAGTTTCTTTAAATAAAATTTATAATACATTTTTGTCTCGTTCTATAATATATATATATATATATATATATATATATATATATATAATAATATATATAATATATATATATATAATATATATATATATATATATATATATATATATATATATATATATATATATATATATATATATATATATATATATATAATATATATATATATTATATATTACTGTCCCTGTTCATACATTAGTAGAATAGGTACCTGGGTGTTAGTCGATTGTGGGTTGCATCCTGGGGACAAAATTAGCTAATTTGCCAGAAATACTCTGCATGATAAATTAGACACATGTGCAACTCTTGGGTATCTTTATTGAGGAAACGTTTCGCCACACAGTGGCTTCATCAGTCCATACGTAGGAGAAACTTGAAGAACAGGAGGAGAATGAGGTAATCAGTCCCTCAACCTTGAGTCGATGTGGTCAGTCCATCAATCTTGAATAGAATACGGCATATGAGCGGAGAAGGAGCTAATAAACCGTATGGCAGGAGAGGTGCAGCAGTCATAGGTGGTGTCACATTTGTTCAATGTGGAAGTAGGTCGTGCCCAAGTTTCTCCTACGTATGGACTGATGAAGCCACTGTGTGGCGAAACGTTTGCTCAATAAAGATACCCAAGAGTTGCACATGTGTCTAATTTATGAACATGTCGGTTCTCTGAACCATTCATCTACAATACTCTGCATGACCAGGGGTTTGTTTATAGTAGTATGTCATTGATGTCAGTTAGGTGTGTATACCTCGTACAGGTACTTGTAGAAATTAAGATTATAATTAGGATCTGAATATCTTGTTGCATTACTTGATTCTTTTTAGAGTAAATTTGACAACTGAATAAGGTAGTCCAGATATTCTAGTTTTAAAATCTCAGAATTTTTTTTTTTTAATCATAGTCATGTAGAATCTTTAGTGGGAGGGAGGGAGGGAACGGAGGGAGGGACGGAGGGAGGGAGGGAACGGAGGGAGGGAGGGAGGGAGGGAGGGAGGGAGGGAGGGAGGGAGGGAGGGAACGGAGGAGGGACGGAGGGAGGGAGGGAACGGAGGGAGGGACGGAGGGGAGGGAGGGAACGGAGGGAGGGACGGAGGGAGGGAGGGAGGGAACGGAGGGAGGGAGGGAGGGAACGGAGGGAGGGACGGAGGGAGGGAGGGAGGGAACGGAGGGAGGGACGGAGGGAGGGAGGGAACGGAGGGAGGGACGGAGGGAGAGGAGGGAACGGAGGGAGGGAGGGAACAGAGGGAGAGACGGAGAGAGGGAGAGACGGAGAGAGGGAGAGGGAGAGAGGGGAGGGAGGGAGGGAACGGAGGGAGGGAGGGAACGGAGGGAGAGACGGAGAGAGGGAGAGGGAGAGGAGGAGGGAGGAGGAGGGAGGGAGGGAGGGAGGGGAACTGAGGGAGGGAGGGAACGGAGGGAGAGACGGAGAGAGGGAGAGGGAGGGAGGGAGGGAGGGAGGGAGGGAGGGAGGGAGGGAACGGAGGGAGGGAGGGAACGGAGGGAGGGAGGGAACGGAGGGAGGGAGGGAACGGAGGGAAGGAGGGAACGGAGGGAGGGGCGGAGGGAGGGAGGGAGGGAACGGAGGAGAGACGGAGAGAGGGAGAGAGGGAGAGGGAGGGAGGGAGGGAGGGAACGGAGGGAGGGAGGGAACGGAGGGAGGGAGGGAACGGAGGGAGAGACGGAGAGAGGGAGAGACGGAAAGAGGGAGAGGGAGAGGGAGGGAGGGAGGGAGGGAAGGAGGGAGGGAGGGGAGAGAGGGGGGAGGGAGGGAACGGAGGGAGAGACGGAGAGAGGGAGAGACAGAGAGAGGGAGAGGGAGGGGGGAGGGAGGGAGGGAGGGAGGGAAGGAGGGAGGAGGGAACGGAGGGAGGGAGGGAACGGAGGAGAGACGGAGAGAGGGAGAGACGGAGAGAGGGAGAGAGGGAGAGGGAGGGAGGGGAGGGAGGGAACGGAGGGAAGGGAGGGAAGGGAGGAAAGGGAGGGAGGGGAGGGAAGGGAGGGAGGGGAGGGGAAGGGAGGGAGGGGAGGGGAAGGGAGGGAGGGGAAGGGAGGGAGGGGAAGGGAGGGGAGGGAGGGAGGGAGGGAGGGACGGAGGGAGGGAGGGGAGGGAGGGAGAGACGGGAGAGAGGAGAGGGAGAGGGAGGGAGGGAACGGAGGGAAGGGAGGGAACGGAGGGAAGGAGGGAAGGGAGGGGAGGGGAGGGGAAGGAAGGGAGGGAGGGAGGGGGAGGGAGGGACGGAGAGAGGGCGGAGGGAGGGAGGGGGGAGGGGAGGGAGGGACGGAGAGAGGGGCGGAGGGAGGACGGAGAGAGGGGCGGAGGGAGGGAGGGAGACGGAGTAAAGGCTGAAATTCAAGGGTCACTGTATGGCAAATCTCTCACGTATAACATTAAATGTTCCCATAATTCGTATTCATACCTGGAGTTTACCTGGAGAGAGTTCCGGGGGTCAACGCCCCTGCGGCCCAGTCTGTGACCAGGCCTCCTGGTGGATCAGAGCCTGATCAACCAGGCTGTTGCTGCTGGCTGCACGCTAACCAACGTACGAGCCACAGCCCGGCTGGTCAGGAACCGACTTTAGGTGCTTGTCAAGTGCCAGCTTGAAGACTGCCAGGGGTCTGTTGGTAATCCCCCTTATGTATGCTGGGAGGCAGTTGAACAGTCTCGGGCCCCTGACACTTATTGTATGGTCTCTTAACGTGCTAGTGACACCCCTGCTTTTCATTGGGGGGATGGTGCATCGTCTGCCAAGTCTTTTGCTTTCGTAGTGAGTGATTTTCGTGTGCAAGTTCGGTATACTAGTCCCTCTAGGATTTTCCAGGTGTATATAATCATGTATCTCTCCCTCCTGCGTTCCAGGGAATACAGGTTCAGGAACCTCAAGCGCTCCCAGTAATTGAGGTGTTTTATCTCCGTTACGCGCGCCGTGAAGGTTCTCTGTACATTTTCTAGGTCAGCAATTTCACCTGCCTTGAAAGGTGCTGTTAGTGTGCAGCAATATTCCAGCCTAGATAGAACAAGTGACCTGAAGAGTGTCATCATTGGCTTGGCCTCCCTGGTTTTGAAGGTTCTCATTATCCATCCTGTCATTTTTCTAGCAGATGCGATTGATACAATGTTATGGTCCTTGAAGGTGAGATCCTCCGACATGATCACTCCCAGGTCTTTGACGTTGGTGTTTCGCTCTATTTTGTGGCCAGAATTTGTTTTGTACTCTGATGAAGATTTAATTTCCTCGTGCTTACCATATCTGAGTAATTGAAATTTCTCATCGTTGAACTTCATATTGTTTTCTGCAGCCCACTGAAAGATTTGGTTGATGTCCGCCTGGAGCCTTGCAGTGTCTGCAATGGAAGACACTGTCATAACTGACATTCGTGACCTTGCAGCTACTTCCCAGCTAGAGATACATCCCAAGGAATACATAAAGAATGTAAGTTTCACGAATCAACAAAGGAAAACTAATTAGACTAGAAGAGCAATTCGAAGGGGAGAAAAAATCCTTCGGATTCTTAACATTTTTCCAACTGGGCCAACGGAGAAACGGCGTCCAGAACTAAATATTTAATAATCCGTTTGGGACCAGAGGGCAGAATAAGCTGAATGGAAACTACAGACCGATGCCTTATTTACGTGAAGTCAAAGTAAGCCCGTGGTCGCCTTTGTTGGGAACCTGGAGGCCCGTCTCTGAAAGAAACACACGCATCAATGGCGGCCGATCAGCTACCTATTTTCGAGCAGTGTCCTCGTTATTCCCTGATTTTTAACATTATGACAATCCCCCAGGCTTGAGGACTGATATCTGAGAAAACAGTAAAGACAACACTCCTGAATGTGATCCACTAAGCCCGACAAGGGCGAAAAAAGACGGTGGAAATCCGTCAAATCCCGCGAGGAAAGCAGCAGAAGGTAATGTCCGGCAACTTGTGTGTGTGTGCTACCCCTTGATGTATCGGTGAAGGAAGATCAAGTCATCTATACAGAGTCACCTTCAATTAGAATAAAGGCTTGGGGGTTCCGATCCTCTGGCTCTTTCATAGCCAAAGGGGAGCAGCGTCCATTAAAAGTATTTGATTCTCTTACCCATTCACTGGAGGATTAGGAAAGACAGCTTCACACTCTGCTTCCCGCCGGGACAGTTTCCATATTAGCCTAATGACAGGCCGACGACGCTCGCATCTGTCCAAAAAAAAAAAAAAAGATATACCTTTTTTTTTTTCATTCCATATACAAAAATCTTTTATTATCAATTTAACGCCACACAAACACTGTAAAAGATTTTCTCTGCTAGATAACTCCCACAAAAAAGGTGCAATTTGCAAGCGCATAATATAACCTGGGAAAAAATAAAGGGTTAAATGATGGCAATTTCTAATAGAAAACAGTCGAAAAAATTCTACATAAAATTCCTGATGATATAGAAAAAAAATAGTTGCTTTTGAAAAAATCATTAGTTCACAGTGAAAAGAAAAATCTATTAGTTTTTTTTAATGTGCCTTTTCAAGTAGGTTTTTTTTATTATATTATATATATATTATATATATATATATATATATATATATATATTTTATATATATATATATATATTACACAAAAAGATATTGTATAAGTATTTTATAGTTCACGGGACATGGGAATGAGCAGAGACAGTGATAAAGGTGGGTTAATAATAATAATAATAATAATAATAATAATTTTACTATAAAAATGCTTATTCTGCAAAGTTACTTTTAAGAAGAAGAAGAAGAACCTGGTCATTCACTACAGAAATATTTGCTGGAATATTCTCCCTCAAAAAACTCAAAACCCCTCAAAAAATTCCTGTATACTTATTCATTAACGCGTTTAATAAAACTTTTGAAAACTAGCATGTGATACGCCACTAAATTGTATTGCCATTACGGTCATTAGTTTAATAAATTCATGAATATTGCACAAAGAGCGCCATTAAGGTAATTCAGCGTTCATGTTTGAACGTTTGTTCGAAATGACAAATTGAACAAATAAAATATTCAGAATATTGTGAGCACATTTATCTATAATAATTTTTTTATAATATTAATGAAATAATTATGAAAATAATTATATTAAGAATAATGATGGTAATATACTATAAAATATATATATATATATATATATATATATATATATATTATATATATATATATATATATTATATATTTATATTATATATATATATATATATAATGTCGTGCAGAATATTTAAAACTGGTTAATTAGCTAGAACTCATTTTGAAATTAAATCCGTTCTAAAATTTTCTCTTATACGTTTAAATATATTTTTTTTTTCATTTATGTTAATGTAAAAAATAATAATTTTGTACCAAAAGAACCTTAGAAAACTTACCTGACGTTATTATAATAAACGCAATTTAATTTAGCCTAATCCAGCTAAATTATTTTAGATAAGTGTACAATAATTTAATAATAAAAAAAACACAATGAAATTTATTTTTTTCGTTAGGTTCAGAATGATTTTTGCGAAATTATTGCATACACAAATTTCCGCTTGCCTTATTTGGCAAGTTTTACCTATTCGGCACGACATATATATATATTTCCGAGATTCAAGTATTCTTTACTCTAGTTCGTGTACTCGACAGACTTTAATTAATCCCAATTACCCAACTTATTAGCTTTATATTATAAATTATAATTCTACAGTGGCGTAAAGAGATCCCTAAGGAGCTCTCTCTAACGAAGGAAACACAGATACAAACAGATGGGGGTGAACACAATGCCCTCATCCCCTTGCTGGAGAACAGAAGAAATAACAATGGCGGCTGTTTACATTTACATAGCTTGCTAAAACAAAAAACAGTGTAAACACTGCCTTCATACCGCACCCAGGAACAACCAATCTCTCTCCCTTCCTCTCCTCCCCTCTCTCTCTCTTGCTCTCGTTCTTCTCTTCTTACTAAATCAAACCTAATCCATACATAAAGAAACAAGATAAAACGTATCATCAGAGACCAGCTCTTAAAAATAAGAGAATAATCAGAGGAGAACAGCGGTGGGCCGCGGGAGATGAAGGAGGCTCTACTAACCTAACATTGTATGAAGCAACAATGAGAGAGAGAGAGAGAGAGAGAGAGAGAGAGAGTGAGAGAGAGAGTGAGAGAGAGAGAGAGAGAGAGAGAGAGAGATGAGAGAGGAGAGAGAGAGAGAGAGAGAGATTTAAACTACCCCCAGGGTCTCAGCACACTGCCAGTTCTTCCTGCTGCTGTTTATTCTTTTCATTCCAACACGATACGGCAGGTTTTTCTTCTTTTGTCTCCTGGAGCTGCTGGAGGAGCCTTCAGAGGGTGACGCTACACAGAGTCCACAAGGGAGAGAAAAGGTGATCGTCGTCAATAATGTATGGTGATGATGAAGCTCTCATCTGTGGAAGCTGAGTCACGTCTAGGCTAGTAGGTGTTGTTGCAGCAGGGACGGTAGGCGGAGGACGGTATGGCAGAGGGGGGATGGCAGGGACGGTGGATGGCAGGGACGGTAGGACGGCAGGGACGGTGGGATGGCAGGGACGGTGGGATGGCAGGGACGGTGGCATGGCAGGGACGGTAGGACGGCAGGGACGGTGGGATGGCAGGGACGGTGGGATGGCAGGACGGTGGCTGCAGGGACGGTGGCATGCAGGGACGGTGGCATGGCAGGGACGGTGGCATGGCAGGGACGGTGGCATGGCAGGGACGGTAGGACGGCAGGGACGGTGGGATGGCAGGGACGGTGGGATGGCAGGGACGGTGGCATGGCAGGGACGGTGGCATGGCAGGGACGGTGGCATGGCAGGGACGGTGGCATGGCAGGGACGGTGGCATGGCAGGGACGGTGAGGCGGCAGGGACGGTGGGATGGCAGGGACGGTGGGATGGCAGGGACGGTGGCATGGCAGGGACGGTGGCATGGCAGGGACGGTGGCATGGCAGGGACGGTGGCATGGCAGGGACGGTGGGCATGGCAGGGACGGTGGGGACGGCAGGGACGGTGAGGCAGGCAGGGACGGTGGCATCGGCAGGGACGGTGGGACGGCAGGGACGGTGGCATGGTGGACGGCAGGGACGGTGAGGCGGCAGGGACGGTGGGATGGCAGGGACGGTGGGACGGCAGGGACGGTGGCATGGCAGGGACGGTGGGACGGCAGGGACGGTGGGACGGCAGGGACGGTGGGATGGCAGGGACGGTGGGACGGCAGGGACGGTGGCATGGCAGGGACGGTGGGACGGCAGGGACGGTGAGGCGGCAGGGACGGTGAGGCGGCAGGGACGGTGGGACGGCAGGGACGGTGGGACGGCAGGGACGGTGGGACGGCAGGGACGGTGAGGCGGCAGGGACGGTGAGGCGGCAGGGACGGTGGAACTGGCAGGGACGGTGGGATGACAGGGACGGTGGGGACGGCAGGGACGGTGGGACGGCAGGGGACGGTGGGACAGTAGGGACGGCGGGACGGCAGGGACGGTGGGACGACAGGGACGGTGGGGACAGTAGGGACGGCAGGGACGGTGGGACGGCAGGGACGGTGAGGCGGCAGGGACGATGAGATAGCAGGGACGGCGGGACGGCAGGGACGGTGGGACGACAGGGACGGTGGGATGGCAGGGACGGCGGGACGGCATGGACGGTGGGACGGCAGGGACGGTGGGATGACAGGGACGGTGGGATGGCAGGGACGGTGAGGCGGCAGGGACGGTGAGATGGCAGGGACGCCGGAACGGTGGGACGGCAGGGACGGTGGGATGGCAGGGACGGTGGGATGGTAGGGACGGTGGGACGGTAGGGACGGCGGGACGGCAGGGACGGTGGGACGGCAGGGACGGTGGGGCGGCAGGGACGGTATGACGGCAGGGACGGTGAGGCGGCAGGGACGGTGAGACGGCAGGGACGGTGGGATGACAGGGACGGTGGGATGGCAGGGACGGTTATCGGCAGGGACGGTGAGATGGCAGGGACTGTGGGATGGCAGGGACGGTGGGACGGTAGGGACGGCGGGACGGCAGGGACGGTGAGACGGCAGGGACGGTGGGACGGCAGGGACGGTGGGATGGCAGGGACGGCGGGACGGCAGGGACCGTGGGACGGCAGGGACGGTGGGATGGCAGGGACGGTGGGATGGCAGGGACGGTGGGACGGCAGGGACGGTGGGACGGCAAGGACGGTAGGATGACTGGGGTAGTGGGACAGCAGGGACGGTAGGACACCAAGGTCCGTGGGATGGCAGGGACGGCAGGGTCCGTGGGAAGGCAGAAACATAAGGTTAATAGGAAAAGGGGGATTAGGGGCAGGGAAAGTTGAGGGAGGCAGTGGTATGAGGAAGTTAGAGGGAGAGGAAGTAGTAGGGAAGGTAGAGGAAGCGAGATATACTTTATTCTAATGATATGGAAGCGCAAAACCCGCAAGTTTCCACAACGTCTGGGAAGAGGAAAGACATCCAACTTAATAGAAAGTGAAGAGGACTTGCAGTTTCTTCCACTACGAGTCTCCAGCAGTAGCAAGTCCCTAGAAACGTGTGGGTGACCCTTTTGGGTTATCCTAGGTAATTTACACTATGATAATTGTACTTATGTGTACCTGTGCCTAAATTACCTGGAGACCTGGAGAGTTCCAGAGGTCAACGCCCCCGTGGCCCGGTCTGTGACCAGGCCTCCTGGTGGATTTACTTACTAAATAAGCCACCAGATCATGGGTTGTAATCCCAGTCTTTCGTATGAATTGTTGCATTTGTCATTTAAAATTTTTACAACTTATTGAGAGGAGCCCCAGTGGCAATAAGCCACTTTGACTTTTTCGGGTTATCCTAGGTAATTTACACATGTTAAACTATGTATGATAGTTGTACTTACGCGTAGATAAATAAATTTACTTAATCTACTGGTGGAGTGGGACAGTACTCCTTATCTGGGTTTAAGTCACATTTCGTGACTGCCAAAAAACTTCACCAGGGTAAAATAATTTACTGGTTAAGGTACTGCTCATCATCCTCTTCGTGTTTGGAGTTTATAAGGAAGCTGACAACTTACCCCGTATCCATTCCACCCTACTCATTACCCTCTGGCTTGATTTGGAAAAGTGCCGGATTGATAATCTGAGAACCACTCGATCACGGGTTCGAATCCATTACATGAAGATGGCTCAGGGTGTTTGGCTCGTAACTAAAACAATCTGGGT